TGTGTAGCCAGCCCTACACCTCACCACAGCACCCTACACCTGGTGGGAGCAGCCCCGGGAGATAAGTCTCCTATTGCCATGGTTGTCTCCTTTTTCTGCTCCTTGTAAGGGCATGGGGAGCAATAGTTTTCCACAGTCTATCTTGTTCTCTGGTTTAGCTGCATCCTCACTACCCGGCTTTGGAGAAAAGGATGGAAATGAGTATCTCCAGCAAGGCTCTTGGATAATGGGAGGTAAATGAGGCACAGGAGAAGCACACGCGCCCTGTTCGTGTGCTGCCAGGCTATCACCGCCCTCCTTTCCTATCCAATAAATCACAGCTGAGCAGCACAAGCTGTTCCTGTCATTGAAACATGGAAAGAAACGCTCCTCTTGGCACCGGGGAGGTGATAATGACCCTGAATTAGAGCTGGACGTCTCCAGCACCTGATTCTCCTGCTCCTGGGGGTGCAGCCTGAGGTTTCTCCTCCTGGCTGCTGCAGGAACGGGTCCAGGTCTTGCTAATGCGGAGGAAGGATTTAAAGGAGCGGTGTCCAGCCTGGATTTTGGAGCAGTCTGTGACAAGGAGTTTTAAGGACCTGATGGGCACAGTTCCCCTGTGGAGACTGGGGCAGCTGATGACTGCGGGCAGGAGCAGGGAGACCCCATAACCGCTGCCATGTCAGGGGATGAACTGGGGATGAACATGACATTTGGGGTTGTGTCAAGGGACATGCAAGCCCATTACATCGCTAACGTGGTCCCGGGAGTGCTTTTGGCCCAGGGAGCAGCAATGTCTCTGGTGGTTCCCAGCTCTGCTCATCCTAGGCCAGAGATAGAGGCTAATGAGGGACTGGGACCCCGTGTGACATCCCCAAATCCCCATCATGGCCTATGGCACCGACACAGTTGGACCACCAACCCAGGCATAAGGCACAGCAAAAGTGCCAGGCACTGTAATACTGCACTTCTCAGCACCTGAGTAATTTTTGGAAGTGGTTTGAGGGGCTCCCTTTAAAAAAAATCTCATTTTCCAAAGCCTTCCCAAAGACAACTGTGTCTTTTTAATTTCTTTTGAAACTCAAAGAGAAATGTTTGAATACAGTCAGGCCCAGGTCTCAGATGCCAGCGTGCTCCTGTCACTTGGCTCCTAAGTGTACTTTTAAGGGTCGTTACTCACTGGGCCTAAGGTCCAGGCTCTTTAAGGAGAAGTTAAATATCTGAACTTGGTATAGCAGCAGCAATCACACATGCTGTCTTAAAAGGAGCAAGAACCACTCAGTAATATTAAAGGGCAGGAAAACTGAGATTTGGGAGTTTTTTAACTTGTCAGAAGAGGAGAATTGCCAAGCTGCTGAGCACCCAGGAGCTGCTGACAAGTGTGGTCCAATAAAGCAATGAGCTAAAAATACAGCTGGGACTCCACTCCTTCACCAGCCTTAAAGAAAGCGCCGCTGGTTTCATTTTCGTTTGGACTTGCCGTAGTAAGGAAGATTTATCTGTTTGCAAATCGGAGCCGTGGATAAGGGTGGTGAAAAGCAGCTCCCGTGTGTCATCGCTTATCTGCATGTGTGCACGCAAACCCCAATGACAGAGCGCAAGGCTGCGGTGATGCCATTTTATCATTCTTGGCCTGCAAAGCTTCTTTTGGTGTCGGTGATAACCGCGTCTATCGGATATTCCTCCGGTTTGCAAATGCCCTCTAGTGGCTTTTGGAGAGAAGAAATGTGCATTTCTCAAAACCAGAAGGTTTGGCAAAAACACTGGTATGCCCAAGGTGCGTGCAGGCTTTAGGAGAGATGGGACACAGTTTAAAGTGGAAAAATAGTTAAATCAAAATCCTTCATTCATAAATGCACATTTCATACAAACCACAGGGGAGAGGGAAGGTTGTGGCATTCTCTGGGTACTCCTAGAAGATGGCATTGTAGTTCATCAAAAGATGAATATTGTTTTATTGTGCAAGTACATCTCCCTCTCCTCCTCCTTCCCTCCCTTTACGCACCCTGCTGTGTAACATGAATATGGCTTTTATTTGGAGATGTTATGCTCCGCAAACAAGCTTGCCCAGCTGGCTGCAGTGTGGGCCTCTGCGTGTCTGACAGAGCAGATTGTTTTACATTGGATTTATTGCTTCCTCATTAGAAAAGCACCCTCCAGAAATGCCCTTTTCTATGTGCTTAGTCTTAGAATATGAATTAAAAAGTAACCATCCTGCACACAGTAAATTTATGAAGAAGTTAGATAGATCATGCTTTCTGTGGGTTGAGCTTGGCAATACACTTGAGGCAGGTTCCCACTGTATGAGCAGTGCTGTATTGGAGCTGTTCAGGAATATAAAGAGAAGAGAGTTCTGCAGACAAAACCTCTGCGGGATGCTGAGAAGATAATGAAGAGAAGAGAAGAGAAGAGAAGAGAAGAGAAGAGAAGAGAGGAGAAGAGAGGAGAGGAGAGGAGAAGAGAGGAGAAGAGAACAGGACTATTTCTGTTGGAAAGCACCTACAATGATCATCTGGTCCAACTGCTTGACGAATTCAGGGCTGACCAAGTTGAAGGATGTTGTTGTGGGCATTGCCCAAATGCCTTTTACACACTGACAGGCTTGAGGCCTGTCACCTCCCTAGAAAGCTCATTCCAGTGTCTGACCACCCTCTCAGTAAGGAAATGCTGCCTAATGTCCGGTCTAAACCTCCCCTGGTGCAGCTTTGAACCATTTTCATGCATCCTCTTTCTGGATCCCAAGGAGAAGAGCTCAGCACCTCCCTCTCCATGTTCCCTCCTCAGAAGCTGTAGAGAGCAATGAGGTTGATCCTCAGCCTCCTTTTCTCCAAATAGACAAGCCTGAAGTTCTCAGCTGCTCCTCACAGGACATTCCTTCAGCCCGTTCACCAGCTTTGTTACCCTCCTCTGGATGCATTCAAGGACCTTCACATCCTTCTTAAATTGTGGGTCCAGAACCAAGGTGGGGCCACACCAACACCAAATACAGCGAGATAATCACCCTTTTAGCCACCCAGTTACACTGTGTTTTATGCTCCCCAGGAAGGGGGTTGCCCCTGTGGCTGCCAGGGCACGCTGCTGATCCATATGGAGCTGCTCTCCACCAGCACCCCCAGATCCCTTTATGCAGGGTTCATCTTCAGCCACTCCTCCTCTAATTTATCCTTGTGCCCAGCAGCATCACACCACTGCTCTGCTCCCACTGACCTGTGTGTTACATGTGTGGGCTGGGAAGTGTGAAAGACACAGTATGAAAAATGAGGGCTAATGGTTGAGTTTTGAAATTTAAGATTTAAATTCTCTCACTCATTATCATAACAATCATCATCTGTATTCTGAATGTACAAAAGGCCAGGCTTTTCCAGGCTACTGCAGTTTGCCATCTATTAGAGGGACCAGTACTGACAGCCTGTAAAAAGCCCTCAAGAAGACAGATATGAGAAACACACCGATGAGGAATATTTTTCTAACCTCTGTAGCTCTGGATTATTTATTTTCTTAAGTCAGAGAATTTAAGTGTTTCAAATTTTTTTATTAAATATTTTCTGATATTCCTGCAATCCATATTTAAATCTAGTCCTTTTCTGCCTGCTGCTACCTTTTTCACTTCAAATAGACTTTGTGGCAATAACTTCTACTCTATATATGCCTTAGTCAAAGCAGACTTGGTGATAGTAATGGTTTCAAACTGAAAGGGGGTGGTTTTAGATTAGATATTGGGAAGAAATTCTGCACTGTGAGGGTGGTGAGACACTGGCCCAGGTTGCCCAGGGACGCTGTGGATGCCCCCTCCCTGGCAGTGTTCAAGGCCAGGTTGGACGGGGCTTTGAGCAGCCTGGGCTGGTGGAGGTGTCCCTGCCCATGGCAGGGGTTGGACTGGGTGGTTCCTTCCAATCCAAACCATTCTGGGATTCTGTGACATGCAAGCACCGAGCTGACCACCTTTGTTGCTGGTGGGGTTATCCCTAAGGGAGAAAAACCCATAATGGTTAGTTTTCGCAGGGTGGGTTTAGTGCCAAAATGACAGCCCTGAGGAGCCATGCTCGCTGCCCACAGTTAAGGACACCATCATTTGCTGTGTCATTTGCTGGAGCCTTCCTCCCTGCTGACCAGGTCTGAGCCAGCGCCTGCGGCCAGGCAGACGCAGCACCAGGTCACTGGTTGAAATCACTGATACTTTATTACACTCTTAGACAAACCTCACTACTAATAGTCCAAAGAGGTGTAGGAGGGATGAGAGGAGGGCTGATGAGCAAAGATACTTTGTTCTTGCCCTTCTCATGTTCATGCACAAACTGATCCTTCTTTAGAAACCCCCATTATTCACTGCAGTCTGGAAAACAAGAAAGAGATGAATTCTGTAGAGAGCCAGAACAACACATGTCTCCATCTCGTGGTAGTGCAATGAAGAAGGGCTTGTTCCTGGCTGGGCCAGAATGGTTTATGGGACGCAGCAGCCTCCCTCTTCCTTGCAGTGACTTAAAAAACCTCTCCCCACCTTTCTTTCCAGCAGGCCCCACGATTTACAGTGGCATTTTCACAGAACCACCCTCCTGTGCCCGAGAAATGGCTGCTCCTTGTGCCAGACATTATTTTGGGGAGCAAAGAGTTTGTTGCTCATTCCCAAATGCAAGACTGAGAGTGGATAGTGTGGCGCTGCAGGACTTGCATTTGTAGAGATGGTTTGCATTTGCTGCATTTCCCATTCCCATTTCTGCAGTGGTTTCCTGCAGTAAGGTGTTGTATGGATGAATGGCGATGATAATTTTTTTGGACACTCCCTCCTGGTTTGAATTTTGTCCATGGTCCTCAGCAGAGCCTTTCAGCTCCAAGCAGCATCTCCTACCTTACAATCGTTTGACTACACCAAAAGTAGCACCAAATATCCTAATTTTAGACCTCCCCAGATCTCTCAGTTCACCTCCTAATGGTTTAAATAATGAAAGACTCCAAGTCGTCTGCCACTCCTTTGCCTCCATGGGTGATGCACCAGGTTACCTTGTAGGGACTGAGCAACTTACGCTGTAGATCCAGTCCACGTAGGCTGACACGCGTGTGAAGACCATCGGCTTCCCGTAGGTGTTACAGTACGGAACCAGCCCCAAACTGACGATCCCATGGACCTGCCAACGATTGTCTTTGTAGCAGCTGAGAGGGCCCCCAGAGTCCCCCTGGGTTGAAGAAAGGAAGGAGAAGGATATATTAAGCCAAATTATACAAGCAGTTTAGGAATGACTGGATAGGATTAAGGAGCACCAGTTAGTTAATCAATGTCCTGAACATGAAAATAAACATTTGTGCTGCTTTCTTTGCAAAGGGGTGAGTGCTCCCCAGAAGGAGAAGGTGCCAAGCACCGGGGAGCACTGCCTGGCCCTGGGTGCAACAGGACAGTGACACTGGAGGAATTTTAAGACTTCTCTGAAGCTTCATCCTTCAGAGGAGGAAAAAGGGGACTGCCAAATTCTTAACCTAGTCCTCAGGATCCGGGCAATGGGACATGCTGCTAGAAGGAAGAGGAAATCTCCTCTCCAAAATCAGAGGGGAGAGATGCACCCTGAGGATTTGGAGGTTTTCTTTCTGCTGGCTGCTCTGTAGGGAGATGGAAGAATGTGGAGCCATCTGGGTTAGAAGATGTTCACCTGAAAGCAGCAAAGGGTTTGCAGGAGACCTATTGCAGGTGGAAAAACAGCAAAAAGAGGTCCCAGCTGAAGGAATTGTGAGGTCAAATAGGAAGGAAAGAGAAAGAGGAGAGTTTGAAAATCCTCTGATAATAACAGATCTTACACTGCATTCGGACCTCACGCCGTCTCCACCTGCACAGATCATTGTAGCTTTTGCGTCAGAGCCCCACCAGTCGTCCTGGGAGCAGATCTCATGGTCCACCACTGGCAGCATCACCTCCTGCAGTCTGTCTGCACTGCTGCTGCCCGCTGCCAGGGAGAGGGTGAGATGTGGGCCCAGGAGCCCCAGCCGCTGAGGAAGGAAGCCCGCATCCTGTCCTACCTGCACGGTGGTCCCTCTGAAACCAGGAGGGACCTTCAATGCTTCTTCTTCAGCTTTACTCACCACTAACCACCCCCCATCCGGTCAGATAACAGGGATAGTTATTGGGCAAAATGTCTCCTTCAGCTGAAAGCACTCCCATCTCCACGAACCCGTTGTCACAGGCAGGAGAACTGAGGTGCAGCAGGGCGATGTCGTAGCTGAAACAGGACACAGGGAAAAGACTCTTTTACAGAAAGCCTTGAATTAGTCATAAACCAGACATCTACACTCACATTTCGTGAGTTTCTAGCCTCTGGTAGGCAAGCATCTTGCAAATATCATTAATTAATCCTTGCAGTTATCACAAGCAACAGGAAAATATGCGCACATAAGAAAGAAGAGGTCATGGTACATATTGATAAAGGGCTAACATCCCCTAAAGGCTCCTACTCCTTTGGAGACACCCAACCTCCAAGTGAATTTCAGAGGACCCTGGGCATACAGGCATGGCTCTGAGGGTGGATTTAGGACAGTTCCTCAGCACTTCCCTGTTGGCTTCCCTTCATCAGGTGCAAACAGTGGTGTGACTGCTGTCCTGTGGACAGGACATGATTCAGACTGAACATGAGTCCTGTTTAACATCTTTATCAATGATCT